ACTTGCAGCATAACCTTGTGTAGAAGAGGAGGGAAATAAAAAAGGAAAGCGAAGGAAAGAGAGAGAGAGAGTGAGAGAGAAAGAGGATTGAGTTGTTACTGAGTGGGTTGAACGAGTTGGGTGACCGATCAACAAAAGAAAGAAACAACAAAGACCAATCTAAACAAAATAAAAACCACAGGAGGGGTTTGGGGTTGGGGTCGGGGAAAACTTGGGCTTTGGGTCTTTGGTGTGGAATTAGCAAAATGGTGAACACGAAGATTATTAGCCCTTCCTCTCCTTTACCACCACCACCTCCTTTCTCTCTCTCACATTACCCTAAAAACTCCAACTCTGACTCTATCTCTTTCCCATTCTCTAACCCTAACTCCGCGTGTCTCTATCCACACCAGACACCACCATATTCTTTTTACTCACCCACCCAATTTTATTTCCCAGTCATTATCTCTCTGCGTCTCTCTCTCTCTTCTCTCTGCTTTGCCTCTCGGGGTTTACTTCCTTTCTTCTTTCGGAATGTTTGCGCTTTCGTTCACTGCGGCGACTTCCGTTGTCCCAATTCAGTTCGATTCATAAGGTATTGGATCGGTCTTTTACTTGAGTTTTCGTTGATTATGTGAGGTTTTTCTATCCGGGTAATTTGATTTTAATATGTTATAGCGGGTTTTGGGTTGTTTTTTGTTAGTGGTTTTCTCTTTGTTCTGATGAATGATGAGTGTGTCATTGGGCGTGTGTATGCTGATTATGTTTTATATTGGTCTCTTGTTTAATGTTTGGATGTATGTATTCTTGTGGTTCGCTTGCTAAAAATTTCACAATTATTTACGTGGGGTTGATTTCGGTTGCTTCTAAATTATGTGAACGGTTGGTTTGGGGTTTTTGTTCTAGTTCCTCAATGGGCGTTTTGCTTCTGGTTTGTTTCGTTCTTGGGTGGGCTTTTGTCATATATGAATTCATTGAATTTTAGCTAGAACCCGCTTTGGTTTCTTTTATAGTTTTTAGGTTTTGTAATGCCCCACTTTTCGCATTTGAATATCTTCGATTTAATTGTTGTAGTTTTTGTGTGTTATATGTTAGGAACTAAGGCACAATTTTCGGGGATTCTGGGTTTTCACCTGTATACTTTGATCAGCTAACCAAAAAAATTAGTGTTATTGTCAAGAGCTTTTGTTAAACACCCTCATCCCTTCCAAAAACCTAAATTGTTTTAATTTTCTTCCATTCCAAATTGGTTGTCATAGTTTAATTCTATGTTTGCTGTTTGTTCTCGTGGTTTTCATATAATGAATGCTTCACATCCTTATCCTATGCTCTGTTGCTCTATGTTACTGAAAATAACAGCATATGATTTGCTTATTTGTAATTATGCAAATAGTTATATATGTTTCCTTCTTTTTTTTGTTGGGTAGGGATTTTGGCATCGCTGGAGTACTTCGTTGGTGTGTTTTTTCTTATTCATGTTTTGATAAGTAGTGGCATCACAAGAATTGGGCTGTAACAACTCTCCGTCATGGAAAACATTAGCAATAGTCATAGATTGGACAGTATCAGCAATGCTGTAAGAAGGAAGAGAAGTCAAACTTTTCGCCGACCTCGACCTGATTCACAGCCATACAATGAACTCCATGATCAGTCATCATTGTCATCAGCGACACCTTCAGATGATCAGAGCAAGGTCTCAAGTGATGAGAATGCAGGTTGTGATGCCAATTCTAAAAGAAAAGAATGTAGTCTTAATGAATGTATGGCCAGGGTTTCTTCTGCTGTAGGCAACGGCGAAAAACCTCACAAAAATGATAGTAAGGATGGTGAATTTAATTCATTTTACAATAATGAGCCAGGACGAAATGGGATCAATAACAAAAGGTCTAGCGAAGGTGTCCTTGCTCCTGCTAATTGGAAAAGCACAAGCATAATGAAGGATGGTTTGATATCAGAGTCAAGAAGTGCTGATGCATTTGACAGGATGAATGGTGAAAGTCCAAGTACTAGGTTGTCAGGATTAGATGGATTTGGAAATGAGAACAAGGTAAAAAAAGTTAAGCTCAAGGTTGGTGGTGTCACGCGTACAATTCAGGCCAACTCTGCGTTCAATGGTACAGCAGAGGGTGGGTCTTCTACGAAGACTTCTCGATTGTCAGATGTCTCTAGACAGCGGCAGAAGCCAAATCTTCTGGTAATAAACTATTGCTCTTTCATAGTGAGTAACGGAATCACTATCGCCCCAATTATACCAAGAGGATTTTAAGTTTTTTTTTTCTTCACTTGCATCATCTTATTTGCGGTTGATGCATATGCATTTGGGTTATGGGCCATTAATGTCCCAGTTGTTGAAAATTTTGAATTTTGAGTGTTTTTATTATAAAAGAATGTTTGTTTTGTGTTAAATTTTTTTTATAATCAACGCAACTATTGGTATGACCCAGATCAGAGTATCTACTTGTCACCACGTGGGCCATTTTAATTGGATAAATGGAAATTTAGAATATGTTATGTATGGAAAATTATCCTTTGCATTTATGTGTGCATATTTACAAAATAAATGCATTTTGTTATTGTTAGTCTGTTGAGATCTTTTCTGTAAACAAATTTTTCCATAGCAGGAAAATTCAGATGATAATCAATCCCCTTCAGATAAGAAGAGCGGCTTAAAAGGAATTCCGTGGAAGGATTTTTCGAGAAGTGGTTTCAGTCTTGGGAGGGATAATTGTTCGATGGGCAGGATATCGGGAAAAAACACCTCTGGAAAGGAAGGAGATAGATCTGAACCAGTTCGTAAGAGCAAGCGGGTGCCTAAGAGGCGTGTTCTTGATGGAGAATTTGGAGATGATGAAGAGGATGATGAGATTCGGTATCTGGAGAAACTCAAAACATCGAAGGTGACTGCAGGGTATAGAGAAGACGACGAAGAGTCTAGCAAGAAACATAGAAAACTTTCCGCTGTTTCTAATATTGATAATGCTGGTGCATCAAGGTCGGGAAAAGACCTTAAGAAGAAGCCGAGAACAGATAGAGCATCTGGAGACACTGATTATGAGGAAGATGAAGATTCATTATCTGATGGTGAGCTTGAAGGTAAAAAGAAACAGAAGAAGGAAACTGTTGACTCTTTGATGGATGGTAAGAAGGAAATGACTCTCACAACTCGTCAACGGGCCCTTCAGTCAAGCAAAGATGTCTCTTCATCCCCTGGTTCGAGCTTAATTGAGTTTCCAAATGGATTACCACCTGCACCGTCTAGAAGTGAGCTTTTCCACCAATATTTTGTATACTTTAATTCTTTTGTTAGTATATTTAATTGTAATATTTCCATTTTATGATTGTTGTGGTTGACCACAGAGCAAAAGGGGAAACTTTCGGACGTGGAGCAGCAACTGAAGAAAGCTGAGGCTGCTCAGAGACGAAGAATGCAGGTTGAGAAGGCTGCTAGGGAATCAGAGGTGTGCTTTATTTTGCTCTTTATTCTTTTATCATTTACCTTTAATTTCTTTGGAGTTCTTGAATTGGAGATCAGCGTTATCGAATTATGTAGGCTGAGGCTATTAGAAAAATACTCGGTCAAGATTCCAGCAGGAAGAAGCGCGAAGACAAGATAAAGAAGCGGCAAGAAGAATTGGCACAGGTATTGTAAACCATGGGATATATCCCTCCTTCCCTCCTCCCCCCTTGTGCTTCTGCCTCTGTAAAATGCTAGCAGTTCCATCTTGTACTCACTGTACTTTATGCAGGAGAAGGCTGCTAACATGTTGACACTTCCATCAAACTCCATCAGATACGTGATGGGCCCAACAGGGACTGTAGTGATATTCTCTAATGATATGGGTCTCCCCAGTTTATTTGACTCTAAACCCTGCAGGTAATTCTTTTTCTTGCTAGTTTTTCCCAATATAATGCTCGTTTGGTGATGGTCTTAACATCTTGTGGTATGGAAATTCAGTTATCCTCCTCCGCGTGAGAATTGTGCGGGTCCATCATGTACCAACCCGTACAAGTATAGGGATTCTAAGTCAAAGCTTCCTCTTTGCAGTCTTAAGTGCTACAAGGCAATCCAGGAAAAGATGCAAGCATAAACTACGGGCTAATGTCGGCAACAACCTTGTTCTAGCCTTCAAGTATGCTGGTACTTGTGCAGATGTCTAAGTATAGAATTTGGGGTTGGTGGGAGAACATTCTTAGCTCGGTGTAGAGAAGTTTATACAAGTACACATTGTTTATCGGCTTTAATAAGCCTCTAGGGTTAATATATAAATAATACCTCCCATGTTTTATGATACCTGAGTTTTTTTGTTGTGGTTTTGGAAAGGTTCATTTTCATGGTGAGAGAAGCCTGTGCCCTGTTTGTTATTATATTAACTTTGGGTTCATTCGGCGTAGTGTAACATTATAAAGTTGAGAAATTTATAATAAATAGAAGTTTCTGACCATTCAATTTGATCCAACCTTGTCACAAATTGACTTCAGTTCAACTTAATATTACATATTATTTAAATGTCCATATGTCATTGTAGAAAGAAAAAAATAAAATAGTTCTCCTTTCACATTGCAATTTGCATCCGCATTCAAATCGTGTTCTCGGCAAAGTTAAAAAAAGACATATTGGAGATGCATGTTAAAAGGTGACTGTGCCTCTTATTTTTATTTGAATAAGTTCTCAATACTTCAGAGATTAGGGGCTTTTTTTCATTTTTTATTTAAATACAAGCGATGCCATAGATACTGACAAGGTGACATGAGGTTTTAATTAACAAAAATTCAATTATTACCCTCATAAATGATAAGATAACAAAGAACTAAAAGAGAACAGTTTTCTTAAAATAGTTTCAAAATTAATTTTTTATTATTCAAGTGTTATTTTCAAAAATAATTTTATTTTAAGTGTTAGTACACAAATAGTGGAAAACTGTGGGCTATATTTTATTGGGCCATGGCCTTTAGGCTTTGATGGAAAAAATGGCCCAATGCAATAGAATCAGAAAGCGCCAGGACAAGATATTACGGTGGAATGTGGTAAGTTGTTGCTTGCTCCAACACTCCACTCCCCAGAGTCTACTCTGCCGCCGTGAGCCGTGAGCTTTATTTTGCAGATAAGGCGCCAACAATTTAACTTCATTGCTTACTTCATTTACGTTAAACAAAACAAAAATGTCGCAGACGTGCGTTTCCACATCGGCCTCGTCTCTCAGATTCAACTCCCTTGGCTTCGTCCCAAACCCTAGCTCTTCTCCCCAACCACAGGCCCTCTCTCTCCCCTTCCAACGCTTACCTTCAAGGTACTTTCTCAATAACAATAATTTCTATATGTTAATTTTGTTTTTTAACTCATCTTTTTCTCGATGTTTGGTTTTTTAGAGAATATTCATTCATTTCTGATTTTGAATTTGTTAACATCTTCATTATTTAGCGAGTCTCATCTTTATAGCCTTAATATAACTACGTGGATTGGTTAAGATTAGGAATTTCATATTTTAAGGCAAACCCAAGAATCCAACTAATTGCTGAGAAAGTTGATGGGGATAATTGAAAGTTATGAGTTGTATTTGTATGTTTGGTCCTCGGTGTTGTATTGTTTATCTGGGAGTTTGGGGAACTTCGTCAGCTTATGCTCACTTGATAGGGAGTTACCAATCATATGGGATGCAAACACTTTGAATTTCTCCTAACCCAATTCTTTATATTTTATATCTCTACTTTATTCATGAAAATTTGTCAAATTTGTCAAATTTAAACACAACATAAAGAAAAGCTTATGGGTTTATTTCCAGCTTATTGGGGTTGGATAAAACATTACGGTTTTAATGTTTTGCAGGAAATTGAATAAGTTAGTTGGGAAGAGCAAAAATCTCCAAAGTTCTCCAGTGAAAGCTATTTACTCTGGTGAACATTGGGCACCGGAAAGGAGTTCTCGTCAAGGAATTTGGTCCATAAGGTGGGTTTAGTGTTGATTCATCCCTGCATGATTAATCTTTTCTTGGATAAGAAAGCTCATGCATATCTTTCATTTATGTTTATGTCAATTTGAATCTGATGCTGTAGGGAGGATGTGCAAGTTCCATCTTCTCCATACTTTCCAGCATATGCACAGGGACAGGGCCCACCCCCTATGGTGCAAGAACGCTTTCAGAGTGTTATTAGTCAGCTTTTCCAGCATGTAAGGAGTAGCTATTGGTGGTTTTCCCCTGTGGAATTTGGTGGGTTCTGCACCCGTAGATAGTTTATTTCAACTAATGCTTTTCTTGTTAAATTTTTTTGTTAGAGAATAATACGTTGTGGGGGAGCTGTTGATGATGATATGGCAAACATAATTGTTGCTCAACTTCTTTACCTTGATGCTGTTGATCCTAAGAAGGTCTGTACTATTCTATTTCTGCTCTTTGCTTCTACTGACTCTCTCTCCCTCTTGCATTCATCATGCAGTGAATTTTGGAATTGTACAGCATTGTGCAATTGATTGATCGGTTAGTGTGTCTTCTGATTTTTGAACAGGACATTGTCATGTATGTAAATTCACCAGGAGGATCTGTTACTGCTGGTATGATCTATCCTAGGAAACTGTCTTGCTATGTTTACAGTTTTTGTTCGTAAGGCAGTTTGTATATTACTTGAATAACTAGCTCTTTATCTGCTTAGGTATGGCCATTTTTGACACTATGAGGCATATCCGACCTGATGTCTCCACTGTATGTGTTGGGCTTGCAGCTAGGTACATGCCCCTCTAATACTCTTCTCTTCCCCTGTTACTATTAATGAGTCTTCCACGTATGTGTCTGTATTTCTTTGGTATTAACCTATATAGATATAATTAGTAGTGTTGGTAATGAAAAATTATTCTAAACATGTTTCTATTTCCTGCCTCAAGATACGTTTGACTTGATTTTTTGTTCTTTGCTTTTCTATTCCTCCTTTGCCTTATCTTTGTGGGTGGTGCAGCTGGTCATTACTATTCTGCCTTTTATTTTTCTCCCATTTTGTCTAGAATTTGTAAGGGTGGTTTATTCATCATTCTTATGGCTGTCTGGGCTAAGATGCTGAGGCAGATTTAAGCTTCAAGTGTTGCTAGTTTGTGAAAGATTACATTTGCTGAATGCTTATAAGACTGATATCTTAATATCATATCACTGGATGGCTTTGCGTTCAGATTTTGAAAGAGCTATTTGTTGATGGCCAAAATTCTTATTTTTTGCTAATGTTAGCATCCAAAAAAAAGTTTTTACCACTCATCAGTGATTGATATATGTATTTGCCTTTTCATGAACAGCATGGGGGCTTTCCTGCTTAGCGCTGGTACCAAAGGTAACCAATCCATGTTGGACCTGTGACTTGTATAATTTGTGGTTTTGTATCCTGAAGTTGCTAAATATTTTTGGGTTTCTTCACTGAAGGAAAAAGGTACAGCTTGCCAAATTCGAGGATAATGATCCATCAGCCTCTTGGTGGAGCTCAAGGTGGGCAAACTGACATAGATATTCAGGTATGTTACTTGTTTACATTTTTGAAACCTCTATCCATGTTGGCCAAAAGCCAAAAAGGAAAAATCTCTCTATATATAGCGGGGACCTCATGTTAATTTAACAATCACATCTTGCATAATCTTTACTTGCTGGCTATTATACCTGTCTATTTTGGTACTTAAACCTTTAAATATTGAAGTAAAACTCATGATGTCTTGAAATTTTTTAACCCGCAATTAAAAAATTATTATTATTATTGTTATGTGTTTTTTGGTGATGATTTATAGAAGGTATTGGTCCATTATTTTCTTCAAGTGGCTTGGGTGCCTTATTTTGTACATCAATAGAGTTACATGTTTTTAAGAAGAAATCCTTGAAGTCTGTAATTCTTGTAAAGAGGTCTAGATTTGAAACACTTAGCAACTGAAGTGATGGCAAATAAGAATATAAGATTGATTAAAGAGTTGACATGCTGTTCAGGCAAATGAGATGCTGCATCATAAGGCAAACTTGAATGGTTATCTCTCCTACCACACTGGTCAAAGTCTTGAAAAGATCAACCAAGACACAGATCGTGATTTCTTCATGAGTGCGAAGGAGGCCGAAGATTATGGGCTTATAGATGGTGTGATATCGAATCCTCTCAAAGCTTTCCAACCTTTGGCAGCCGCAACAGCAAGTGAAGATGAATCAGCCAAGCAAACTGTTGCGGAAAGTAAAGGTGAATAGAGTGTCTGAACTTCTCCAGGTGTGGCAAGTACCGACAGGGCTATGTTGTAGAGTTATATGGGAAGGAGAGTGACATTTACGGAGTTCGTTTTTAATGCTGAATGATGTTAATATCCGTCAATCAGTGAAGAGAAATGTTAGTTTTGCTTTTAATTCCCTCCAAACTAATAATTGATTCATGAAAGAATAGAAAATTCTCTCAATGCATCTCTTGTTCTTTAAGCATCCTCTTAGGTCACGGTGATAATTATGACAATTGACATGCTACCGATGCTTATGTCAGTAGTTTTCTCATTTGGGTTCGGATAAGCTACTTAAGAAGCTCAGATAAGACTCCAATCTGTGGAGGAGGAGCAAACGCCAGACTTTTCTGATTCCAACCAATTAATCACTGCCATTTTTAAAACTTAGGTGACGTGTACGGCCCATGCCTTGCATACATGGTCCCGGCGATTTGACAGTCCATGGGCAGTTTTGAGTTGTATAATAGAAGAAAAACTTTCTTGTGATGGAGAGTGTCCAACAATAATGCAATGACATATGAAAAAGTTATTTCGTATGTCCATTGATCGGAATAGCAGAAAGTGATATTCCATTTGCATGAAATTCATGCAAATTCTTCACACAAGCGGATATACTTGTTAGTTTCATGTGTTGGCTTTTTCTAGAGAGAATCTGCGACGATAAAACACCAAAAGCCAAATGCAGCATAGACTTTGTAGGTATCGAGATTCCAGAACCTAATCCTTTTGTATCAAAGGAAAAAAGGAACAAAATGCCAAAGAAACAAACATCTTCCTCCACCAAATCAACCACCCATTGAATTTTTTAAAAAAGGAGCTTAGCCTGCTTTGATTGATCACATAACTCTGCAAAAAGGAGGACGTACGCCTTCCACCAAACCAAAACCACTCAAAGAAAAAGAGAACACTCAACACCTCATCTCCAAAAGATGTCTGAGAGCACTCGTGGACCTCGTGCCATCTTTAAATTAACTTATGAAAAACCTCTGCCACTCTGTGTCTCTGTGTCTGTGTGTGTGTTTGTGGTGAAAGAGGGACCGCCCAGTCACCCACCCATTAACTTTTGCTCATGACAAAGCGATGCAACTTTCTCATTTCGAGAACCAAAAATGGGAAATATTAGAAAAGATGCCGACTAGAAACAAGCGCTGGTAGTGGGCTAAAGGCATGAAGATGACATATATATTAACAATATTTTGCTAGGTACATTGTTCTAAGGGCTGCAAACACTAAAAACACTAAAAACAAGTCCACTTGGATCAAGAGGGGACAGAGGGAATCCTTTCAAGGGAGAGATTGCTCCTCATGAAGCTTGGGAAAGATGAAAATGTGGGTAGTTCTTCAAGCTCATCAAAGAAGTCATTTTCTTCAGATTTGGGTGTTGAGAAGCTCATGAGCTGGGAATAAGAGAGGGGCTCTTCATCCAAGAGGAACCCGAGAGTGCTAGAGACATGGGTTTTCTCTAGGAAAGGGTCTTCTTCTTGGTCAATCATAATGTTTTGGGAGGATCTAATTGGGGACTGAATGTAGTGGAAATGATCTTCATGATCACTTTTCATAGCAGGATGGTCTTCTAGTTTCCCTTGTTTTTCTTCTTGCTCTTGCTCGTGATCTTGCTCTTGCTCCTGCTCGTGATCTCGCTCTTTCTCTTGCTCGTGATCTCGCTCTTTCTCTTGCTCTTCCTGTTTGGGAAGTAGGGCTGGGAGATTATGATCTTCAGTGCTGGGTTGCAATTGGGTCAAGTTAGTGGTGGAGACATCAGGGCCTGGATGATTATGGCTACAAGTGTAGGTGATTATGAGCACTGAAGCATCAGTTTTGCTTCTCTCCACTTGTTTTTTGGCAGAACAACCCTTTGATGTACTGCACCTGTAGTAGCCTCTGCATCATCAGAGAGAATTAAAAAGCAGCAATATTTAAACTGAGAGTCCTAATTGTTAATCTCATTTCTGAAATTAAATAGCCTCGCTTGCAAATTCTTGATGATATGTGATCCGAGATGATAACATGCATGACTACAAATAATGAATTGATAACTTTTTCTTTGGGGACTTTAAGATTTAATTAGAGGAAATTAAAAGATAAAATGTGAGGCCATGTAAGATGTTAAAATTAAGAGACCAATATTGATCATGAGCAAAAAGAAAAAAAATAAAACCTTGGATAAGGTGATCCTTTGATAGGTTTTTGCCCATATTTCCTCCATGACCAAGAATCAGAAGGCGGCCCTTCGTTCTTTAGTTTCCCTACATTTGTTCCTATCTTCACTGTAACAACAGTCTTCTCATGAACCACCTTCCTATAACAATAAACGTATTTATGTAAAAAAAAAGTAGTATTTGTATATAAGTTTTTTGATGAAATATACACACACACACACACACCTTCTTTTGGATGCCTGACCTTCTGGCCTGAGTTCTTTTGGAACTTCTGAGTCTGGTTCTGGAGAGAGGGTTTCATCCATGCTGACTTTTCCTCCTTGGTTTTCTATCTTCTCTCTGTGTATGTATTCTGATAAAAATCTTAAGAAAGTAGGGTATAACAATAGTAGACAGTCACAGACTTTTGTTTTTTCTGGTGATGGAGGAAGTTGCAGACGCAATAACTAAGGAAAATGGATCAAGATCAGAACTCCCAATTGATTAAGAGAGAGAAGGAGTAAGGGAAAGCAAAGGAGGAGGATAAGCTAGCGATGACAAATCAAAAATCCCAAGTTGCTTTCTCTCTTCCTTTTCACTCATTTAATATGAACTATATGCACACATCATATCACCACCTCACTCCTCCCTCCCTCATAGCCCCACCCCACCCCACCATCCAATACCATAGCCCACCCATTAGAACCATGCAAGTGATATTTCCGTGGACAAAACATGTTGGCCCCATACACCTTTTGATGCATGATATAAAGACAATGAATGCATTTGGTAAAATTATATGTCACAACAAGAAGTGAATCTCCAATATCCAAAACCAAAACCCAAAAATTTAATTGAGTTATTATCAAAACCAGATTAGTTAGCTGTAATGAGTTGTATAATATTAAATCGAAGCCTTAACAACAAAGTCGTTGTAGTATAGTGGTAAGTATTCCCGCCTGTCACCCGGGTGACCCGGGTTCGATCCCCGGCAACGGCGAGTTCTTTTGTAGTTTTTTATTATAGCAGAATTGTTTGTAAATTTGTGGACTTTTTACATAGGCAATGCTACTTTTGTTTTGTATGCAAAAAACAGGATGGGACAAGTCAGAATCCCTCAGGTGAAGATGTGGTGCAGTTATTTTTTTGGGAAAAGAACACGACAGATTTGCCCCTGCGCTTATTTTACCGGAGGATTTTCCTTTTTAGCTGTGCGTGTACAAACAGAAGTCAGTCTCCTGTTCTGCTCGTGTGCGCTTATGGGGAATGGTAGCTGCCAGTGTCACACGTGACATGAGGCTTAATTTCATAATTTGAGAATGAGAAAGCTTCAAGTTTGAACTGGTCCAACTATTCTATGATATGTATGTATACAGTATAATGCATGAATCATGATATGAGTTTGGACCACCTAATTCATGGCCCTTATAAATTCTTCTTCCAACAATTAGATTCCTTTTGCAGACGTCATGCCCTGGAAAAACCAAAACTAGTAGACATAGAGAGCAGCGCATGTCTTTAATTTTGAAACCCAACAACTAGTTTTGGGCCTAGCCAACATCAGCTCAAGCTCAAGTGTATATTATTATATATCAACTTGAAAATATGTTCTTGGTGGACCGTTGAGTTGAGGTAAGCTTATTCTTCATCGTGATCACCAATATGTAATATGTGTGTGTATATATATATATAATAATAAGAGGCATATTCCACGACCAGACATAAAACATTTTGTTATGGACTAGGTGACAGAATGGATATGCATGTCCCATGAACTGCCAAGGAAAGTTTCAAATTCAAATATTTAATGGAAATAATAAAAAATTCATGTTCATTCATATCCAGGAAATGATTTGGATTTAGGTGAGCTAGTAAGAAAGACGACCATGTCTAAGATGTCAACCGTATAATGCAACTAAGGGCGTGCATGCGACCACTCCAACTAATTATTATGATCAAGCAAGTCATCATCAACTCTATTTATATATATATATATATATATATAATTTCTTCATCACATAATGTTCCTTAATTATATATTGTGCAGCAGAGACAAGACAAACTCGAGATATCACTTTGAATTTGGTTTAGAACAAAAATGAGTTTTCAAAACTATTTGGATTGGGAACAGAGGGCTAAGAAGCTCTTGATGAGTTTGACTAGCTTTCTAAAACAACCTTTCCACACTCTTACAATCACCCTTCTCAGTCTATTGCTTCCCCTCTCATTCCTCCTCCTAGCCAGGCTTTCTTGCGCTAACTATCTCTTAAGCTTAAGCTTCGCCCCTCTTCATCCTGATCCTAATTATAGCACCACCACTACTAGTAGTACTCTATTTTCTCTGTTCCGCTACGCCACCCCTTCTCTTCTCTACATTCTTGTTTCCATTGTCAGCACAGCCGCTTTGATCCATTGCCTAACAGGTAAAATTACCATCATAACCGAGTTCCCAACTCCCATTTTCCGTCCCCGTTTGTACACTGCCTGGATTTTCCTATGCACATTACAAGTCTGCGTTGGTTTGGGAATCGAAGGGAGCATAGCCGCGGGGATCAATGGCGCTACTTTCGGCAGCGTTGATGAGAGAATATGTCTGTTGAGCAGAGCAATATTTTTCGTGGGGTTGCATGAGACCATGCTCCATTGGTGCAGAGTTGTGGTGAAGCCGGTGGTGGACGACACGGTTTTCGGTGCAGCTAGAGGGGAAAAATGGGTTGAGAGGGTGGCAGTGGCTGCCAGCTTTGGTTGTTTATGGTGGTGGAGGTTGAGGGACGAGATGGAGTCTTTGGTAGTTGTAGCCAAGGCCAAAAGAGAGCTGTCAATGGGCATAGGAGTGGCAGACTTTGTTGGTTGGTGGTTATATTACCTCACTGTAACTATTGGAATGGTTAGAGTGGTGAAGGGTGTTATGTGGCTTTCCATGGTTTTGTTATGTAGGAGGAGATCAGGAGGAGGCAACTTTGCTAACAGTTGCGCAGAAGATCATGATCTTCAAGACAACAAGGTCTAAATTTCATAATCTGATTGGATCGATTGATTGATTATTTTGAGCACAGACATATTCCCTCTTCGTTTCTTTCACACACGAATTCGTAATTGTTCCAAACTTGATTTTCTTTTGTTTGTTTTGTTTTGTTTTTGCTTTTGGACAACAACTGTATCATAATATTTATTTAATTGTATGACTCTTGGCAGATGTGCATTTTTTGCATACGGTACATAGAATATGAACATGTCAAAATCAATCGTGAACGTCAACTAATAAGCCAAATACACACACCCTGTACCTGTACATAAAAAGAGGCAAAACAAAGCTGAAAACTACACTAATTAACAACAACATTAATTAATTAGTGCACTAATTTAATTACGGTGATAATTATTAAAGAGAGAAGTACATCAAGTAAATGGCATCTTCCCAGGTACAAATGTAACATGTACAGCTCAGTGGTGCTTCTCATTTATAGATGAGATGAGACCATGGTCAACATCAAGGAATTGACTGCTTGTGTTGTATTCTTTTCACATTTCAAGCACCTTCAGATTTAAACAAGGAGTATAGGTACTATGTATTATAAAAGATTAACCAATGAGTTTTTTAAAAAAAGTTTGCTTGGTTACAGTTAAAAAAAGCATAAATGAAATTGAATGGATGAGGGTGGATTAATGGATAATCTGCAGGCAACTGTGAATCCTGCCAATTCCATGCACGGTATATTCTTCCTTATTACCGCAAAGGCACAAATTACCCCTCGAATGTATGATTTAAAAAGATAAAAAAGTTTTTAGTTATCTTCTCCAATTGACAAAGTTACAGAGGGACTAATTACTGCTTTAGTTTTGTAGTTTCCTCATCAACCCTTTTATTTGTCTTCTCTCTGAGTTTGTCATTTTACTCTCCGTACTCATCCAGGGGCAGTCACGTCTTCTGAGTTGAATAATTTCATATCCCAATCTTGTTTGGCTAATCAACCTTGTAACTTTTGAGTAATAATAATTTCATTAAATGTGCTGATTGGCAGTGACATGTGCTTTTTTATTTTTGTTCTTGCCTTTCTTTGTGGCAGAGTTTAGTTTAATCTTTAATATATCATATGAAGGGTTTGAAGGGGTCTTTGTTTGGACAAGTTTTTGGCATTTCATGGTTGCTGGCTTTGTTGACAATATCGGAATATCACTATCATAGTTGCATTCCTCGCCTTTTTTTATTAGTGAAGGGAGCAAGGGTGCTTCAGTTATCAAGCCTGTGATCGTTGTTATCAACCAAAGATACAAGTTGATATGCGTCGATATTAATCCAGTCCCATAATCCTATTGATGATCAGTTGAGACTTGAGAATACTTTTTGCAAATTTGCTTCTGCATATATTCTTATTCTCTGCAGAATATGGCTAATGCATTCTTCCCCTTCACACCGTTTGATTTCGGAGTCCTAGGTGGTTTGACTCCCCAGCTTGAAGATTATGAGAAAGATCAGGAAGTGGCCTTCAAAGTGAAACCAGGGCATTTGTTTGCCATAGAAGAATTGGGGTTGGGAGAGATGGATAGTGCTCTTTCTTCTGAACATGGTTTCTATCAAGAAGACAGCAAGGCCAAGAAAGGAGGACTATCATCCCATTTCTCCAAAGATCCCAAGCCAACTTATTCACTTTCGGATAATTTCAACTTTGATATCGTTTCTTCTGAACATGTATTCCACCAATCTAACAAGTCCGAGAAAGGACTACCTCATTTGTCCAAAGATCAAGACCACCGCCATTACCAACAACACCACCATTACCAGCAGCAACAACCCAAGTCAAATTATTCAATTTTGGATGATTTCAACTTTGATTCTGTCTTCCCACCAGCACAACCAATCCAGGATGGCACTCACCAGCTTACATACAACCAAATCGGAGGCTCAGACATTGCAGAAACCAACAAACACTTGCCCCATCAATCTTCCTTAGCAGTATTGGAGCTCCTCAACAGCTATGGGAGCGCGTTCAAGAAGTTGAGGGGAGAAAGAACAAGCAGCGACACAGGAAATGAAGCTGAAGCCTCCTCCTATGTGGGACAGCAAAAATTGTCAACCGAAGAGATCATGAGGGTTGCTGGAGCAAGGTATGTGCAATTCTCTAATCAGGGGTATGATGACTTTTACCCTCTGCACCCTTTTGGCTACGCTCTTTCCGGTCTGTCCGAAGAAGAAACAAAGGATGCGGAACTTGCTCACATACTTTTAGCTGCAGCAGAGAAGGTAGGCTACCAACAATTTGAACGCGCAAACAGACTGCTTCTTCGTTGTGAATGGATTGCATCCTTCAAAGGCAACCCTATTCAGAGGGTCGTTTTCTACTTTGCTGAGGCACTTCGGGAGAGGATCGAAAGAGAAACAGGAAGCATCCCATCTAAGGCAGAAGAAATGTCTATATCTGGTCATGGACTGAGCACAAACCTCACATACCTTGCATACCACCAAGAAGTCCCTTTCCATTCGGTAATGCAGTTCACTGGGATCCAAGCCATAATCGAAAGTGTTGCCTTGGAGAGTAAGGTTCATTTGATAGATCTCGAGATCAGGAGTGGAGTGCAATGGACAGGGCTGATGGAAT